AATTTCTAGTAACAGAAACGAAAAGGTATTCTGTGCAACTAGAAGCAAGAACCCTGTGCGAATATGCCATGTAAGTCTGGGGACTTATCAGGTAATTATTATTCTTACTGGCGGGATTGAAAAAAAGAAATATGCTAGTAAACCCAGAAACAGGAATTAATTTTGTCTATACACTGCTTACAGAGAGGTTTTATAAGTGGTGCTCGAATAGGCCATCGCTCGCCCCTACACAGTGAAGCAATTTTGCGTATATTCAGTGCAGGTGTTAGAGAACCAAAGAGCGACGGTCTGCCTAAGCGGTCCCCTTAGCCGCTGGAAACAAAAGGACGCATAACAATTTATTTAAACAACAAATCAGTAAAAGCAGTATAACAATAATCAGCAGTATGACAACAGTAGTACATAACTGGAAATGACCAACGGTTGCTTGTTAGCTTCGAAAGTAAAAATTTACCGCTTACATGGTGCAGAGCAAACTGCAGATCAAAAACCACGGAAGAGACATACCGAGACACTGTCCTAATATCCTGTCTTGTTATCGATGTCAAAATATGTCCAGCGTTCAGTATGTCGCATCTGACCACGACAAAGTATGTCAATGCATAAACAAGTCATGTTCTGTCGGCAGAGTCGCGAACTGGACGAAATATTTGTGGTGTACCGTAATGTTTCAACTGCGTAAATGAAATAGTACTGAAGTAACGTGCAGAATTCTCGAATGCTTGTACTAAGAATGACTTTAACTAATTAACAAAACGAATGAGAAATTCAAGGTAACCTCGTATTTCAGTTACAAAACAAATACAGCTAGAAAGGCAAATACATTCCCAGCGACGTACTTTCACTAAATGAATAACTCCTAATGAATATCAATAGACCGAACTCAAGTTTGCATATTTATATTTATGTTTATACTGTGGTAAATGTCAGGTAACTAATCCTACTACTGCTTCACAATCCAACAATGAATACACACTATCTCTCATAGTATTAAGGGGGCCTTAAGGCAAATCATTCAAGGCAAGAAAATAAGTTTAACTGTACCGCCACAGTAATATGCTGTCCACTTACTTCTAGAAAACATTAAATCATGAATTTTATAAGTCTGGATCTTACAAATTTTCATTGAAAACCTCAACAAGTTCCGGAGACTGCGTTAAATAACGATATTTTTACTTTTTGAGAAGCCATACTTTTCAAAATATGCACTGTTGCGGTAGTAGAAAGAGGTATCTATGCACTCGTTTTCCATTAGTTTAAAAATAACGTATTTCCATTTTTTGAATTAGATTACTTAAATAGATTAGTTCGAGTTCAGTATATCGCAACAACTACTGAAAAAGGAGCAAGAGCTTTAGGATGATGAGTTCGTTTTGGTGGTAAAATCGCAAAATGGCCCGGTGGATGTTCAGTGACTTTCGCATTACTGCACGCAAGCAAGAGTATGGCTAGAACTAGGAACCTGTAACAAGAGAACTGAGATAAAATGGTACAGAAATGGTGTACATTTATTGAAAATCGAGTTATTTAATAGAGGAAGCTATGCTTAGCTAATTTTGTAATTTTCTACCTGTCTTATTATCTTGCGTTTTACTCTTTCAATTGTGACTGTTTCTAAGACCTTTCTTTCTCACTAACTAGCTTTTCTGCAAACCACGTTGCTTGTAACCCACTGCATCAACGGTTCCTTAGTATTGCGTGCTCAGCAAAAGCGCCGTGGTTCTAATCTCCACACCATATGCACACCTATCCGTTTTATTCAATGTAACTCTGACCGCACCAGCATCTTTTCTAGTCTACTATCTCAAAATCCACTTGCTTTTCGTATGATGAATTTTTGATATTTAGCTCATTATTCATCGGCGCTCATTTGATCTGCTTTAAAAAAAG